GTCATGAGTTCAATTCTCGGTACTGCAAAAAAAAAAAATAAACCAAATGCTCAGGAGTGGGCCCTGTGTTTTATTTATCTCTCTGTTCCTCAGTACAGTGTTGGGTACAGAGGAAGTGTTTGCATAAAGCTAGAAGGGTGAATGCATGAATGAGCTTTGAAAAAGAGGATGATTGACGCACTTCATAGAGCTGGGGTCTTTTGTGGTTTTCCGTGAGGATGGCCTGCAGTGGTCAGGTATATTTTATAAACCCGTTTGCCCCTGATCGAAACCTCATCTCCAGTAAATTAAACCTCCACAGCTGCAGTGTGTTACCTTTCCTTACAGCTTATTATGGTTGGCTTTTTGCTCGGAAGGAACTGAGCAAGCCAATCAGAGGCTGTTTTATGCACCTGTCAGAGCTCCAAACGCCTCGATTAACATCATGTATAAATTACACTTCCTGCCCATTCTCTATTTTTAGCACAGCAGTAGCACTTGGTGCCTCCTGAGAAGACTGCATTAGGTTTCATTCATGAAGCTACAAAACAGTGGCATGTCTAGCGTGGCTGGGATGACAGTTGCTAACCCCATGACACTGTTTCTTGGGAAGCGCCTCAGCCCCAGAACTTGGGTTGTCCTGAAAATGGTGATAGCCTGGGCCATCCAGCACCCTCAGAAGCTGGCCCTAAAGCACATGTGCATTTGTAGAAAAACCTGCTTCTTGGGTCTGATTTGCTCAGCTTTGCATAAACTATTTCCTTCAGTCCTTCCCTTTGGGGTGAAACTCAGTTGTTATCACAGAGATTTAGTTTCATTGTTTTTTCTCTCTCCATTCCTTCTCAGTTACACAGCACAGTATCATGACCCAAATCTTTAGCACCTGAACTATATAGCCGAGCACCCTGAAACCCACAGGGCCGGGGCAGGCTGTGGAGACAGACAAGCCAGCCAGTGGGCATCAGGTCACAGAGAATTCTTAACTACTTGTAGCTGATGCACCAGAAGTGAGTTGCCTGCTGGCCGCCATTTTTTAAAATTAGCCATTTTGTACAGGATCTTGTTTATTTGAGAATTCCATACTGCCTACTTCCAGGCCCAGCCAAATAAGCTCAGCAATTATTGGTTTTGAATTTAAATATGTTGGATCTGAGAGTGATTGCAAAGGTCTGTAATCCCAACACTCTGGCAGTCTAAAGCAGGAGGATCACAGGTTCAAACCCAGCCTGGGCAATTTAATGAGATCCAGTCTCAAAATGAAAAAAATAAAAAAGGGCTGGGTATGTAGCTTAACACAAAGGCCCTGGGTGTTGGAGGGTGTCATTCAGTCCCTTCACTTGACACAGAGAAACGGAAGCTCTGGCCCCGTTTTATCCCACAACCTGTAAGATGCTGCTTTCTCAGCATGAGGCCTCAGAAGCTATTTTTTTTTAAAAGAGTTGCTTGTTCTTATAAGTTAAACATTCTGATTACATTAGCGATACATAACTTTTTTTAAACTGGGAAAAGGTCAAACGTTGTAAAAAGCAAAAAAGTAAGTCACCTATAATTTCACTACCCAGAAATAGCTACCACTGATGTGTTCCTATTTTCTCAGTCTTAATCTTCATGAAAGAATGCTATTTCCCTCTAGGTTTCTCTGAGGATTCAGGGAAGGAGGTACCAGATAGTTTATGTTCTTCCTAATCTTTTAGCTTCTGGTATTATTAGGATATATAAGTATGGATATAAAACAGAGATCTGTACATACAAGCATGTATTTGTGTATATTTCATATAATTAGGATAATTTCTTTATTTGACCTGTCTCATTGAATTACTGCCACAATAAAGCTATGACAAGCTCTCTCAGAGTCACTGGCTTAAACTGAAAGTTGTTCGTTCTTGCTGTCACTTCTGTGTTGGGTGTTTGCTAGGTGTTCACTGATCTAGACTGGTCTTTGCCAAGCAGCTCTGATAATGGTGTCGCTCCAGCTGGGCATTTCTCTGGCTGTGAACTGGGTTCAGGTCTGCTCCATGCATATTCTTTCTGAGGTCCAAATTGAAGGAAGGGCAGGAATTGCCTAGAGAAGTTCTTCTCATGGCACTGGCAGAGGTAAGGGGACAAGCCCAGCTGGACAATTGCTTTCCAAGCCTCTCCTTGGATTATTTCTGCTGACATCTCATTGGCTCATGGAGGTAGTGTGGCTAAGCCCACAGGCAAGTGAAGAAGTATGTTCCATCCATCATGAGCCAAAGCCAAGCACATGCTCAAAACCAACATCAACGGATGAGGTAATTAGGTATCCTTCTCAAAGAGGCAAACAGAATGAGAAGGAGTATTTTTGAGAATAATGTTATCTACCATGTATCATAAATATCTGCTGAGGTACTCTGTTCTTTGAGATTTAAATAAAATCTGCTTAGAACCCACCTGGACAGTCATCATCCAATCAGTCCAGTGGACCCCAGACCCAGAGCTTTTCATCCAATGAATTGGTCCAGTGCAGGGGTCACTTGGCCATGCTAGCGTGTTGTCCCTGTTGCATATGCATGTCCCTTTCCTTTGACTCCGCCCCAAATAATTTACACAGATGTGTGCACAAGATTCTGCCGAACATCTGGGACAGCCAAGGAGTTTTACATCTCCGTGTTTATGTCTTCACATTGATCAGCCCTCCCTCTTCTAGATGCTGCTTGCATCTCAGCCCACACACAGCCTCTCCCATCAAAGTTGCCTGAAGAATTCGCTCTGGTTTCAGCAATTCTGATGGTCTTATCTTGGCTGGGCCATCCCTTCATGCAACGTGGTCCAGCTTTTGTCTTACTGTATTCACTCAGCATACCGTATTGAGCATCTGTGCCCTCCCTTTGATAAATTTTTAATCTAAATGGGGGAATTAATAATGTATTTTACTATTTGGGGGCCAGACACTTCTTTATTCCAGGGACTGTCCTGTGCCCTGTAGGATGTTCAGCAGCATTCTTCCTAGATGCCAGTGATACCAGTCTCACTGCCCCTGGGTTATGAGCAGCCAAGATATCTCCAGACAGTGCCAGGTATCTCCTGGGGGGTGAAATCACCCTGGTTGAGAATGGCTGCTCTAGCATATGCTAGGCTTGGTAAGAGCTCTGAGAAACCCTAATAGTGTGCTAAGAAATGTTCAGGGGGAGGCTTCATTACTTCATGGTGGTGAATCTATGAAAGTCTCAGAGGACAGGGGCATCTGAGCTGAACCCACAGGAAAGGCTAGAAGTTTGTGATGAGTTTCCTGGAGAAGGGAGAAATACAGGGCACACAGGAGTGAGTGGGGTCAGCTGTTAGGGCAAAACAGAAAGTGAAATAGGCAGGTTGGTGAGAGTGCAGGTCAGATAGCTCCTGGAGGCTGGAGGCCTTGGCCTTGTACACTGTTGTAAGAACTCCACTTCTACTCCAAGTCCAATGTTAAGTGCACCTGCAGCTGTGTTCATTTGGAGGAGATACAGTTGGATTTAGGGTTTGTCTTCATAACCCAAAGTAATTGCTGCAAAGTTGCTCCATCCAAAGGTCATTTTTCTGATACTCCAAAAGGAAATACAAAAGCCTTCTTAGGGTACAGTGTACCCAGTCCTTTTTCTTGCTAGGAAGTTTCACTCTGAACTATTCATTTTAGTGCAAAGTCTGAGGGCCCTGGTGGCCAGTGCTGAAGAGCAGATTAGAAGATGGAAGAGGAGAAAAGTAAGAAAGAGGATTAGTATAGGAAGACACAGGCTCTGCAGCAGAGGTCTCAGCATGACAAGGGGAGAGGAACCAGAACTAAAAATAAAGGAATGAGTGAGTGAATAAATGAATGAATGAGCAAATTCAGATGAAAAAGAATTACAGAGGCACAGCAGTCTGGAGTCCTCTAGGCAGGAGAACAGCTGTCTCTCCATAAACCCTAAAGGCATTGATGGGTCCCAGTCCCACCCAGCATACATTGGTTAACCAGGCGGGGAGTAAGTGCAAGCTGTAGAACCCATGTGGTAAGGCAGATTTAGATTTCCTGGCTTGCATCCTTGTGCCAAGGCCCTCCAACAACAAACTAGTTACTTAACCTTGCCAGGTCTTAATGATCTCACCTATAAAATGGGGATTCCCAACTTGTAGGGCCATTGGGAAAGTTAAATAACTGATGTGAATTCTTAGTTCAGTTCTTTTTTTTTTTTTTTTGGTTTTTCTCCGGTACCAGGAACCAAACTCATGGCCTTGCGCTTGCCAGGCAGGCACTTTTGCCGCTGAGCTAAATCCCCAGCCCTCTTAGTTCAGTTCTTAACACAGAATAAGAGCTCCATAAATGCTGATGATTATCCTTATCATGTTACTGGAAGAATATAAATGCTGAGATTTCCTCCAAAGCATAGCTGTAGCTGCTCTTCTGGAAGTCTCAGAGACTTTTGGCGGTGCTGAAATTTCCCTTTCAGAAAGTATGTATGATGGCTATGAAAACCGAGGAAGGTTCTAGAAGAAGAGGGACAGCTGTACCTATCCCTTCCATTTCCTCTTGTTTTGGCAGCAGAAGCCAGGCCGCTGTGGGAGACAGAGCAGGCTCCCAAGGGCTCTGGCCACCTGCTGTTTCTTAGCAGTGTGTCTCCTTTGAACAAGACTGGCCCTTTACCCTTTGGCCATGCTGAGGGAAGAGCAGTTATCCTGAGTAAGCTGAGAGAATGTGAAGCTATTGCTTCCGGACAGTATGTTCTGTGTTACGTAAACATAATCTCCCTCTGAACAAGAAATGTGCACATTAATAGGGTTGGAGGGGAGACACCAAAGCATACAGTAAGTTAGTGGCTGTGAAGTAGTAGAGGTAGCCCTGGGTTGTTTTCCTTTGACCAGTATCTTCCTGGTAACAAAACTGGAAACACAGGATGCTCTGTAACGTAAAACCTTGGCCTGGTTCCTCAGCATAATGTAAAGCAGATCCTGCCAGGAAGACAACAGTGGCCCAACTGGAAGGAGCTGCTCTCTTGCCCATGGATGGCAGGACAATAAAGCAACTTGTCCTCTGTTTGTGTGTCTTCCAGGCTGGAGCAGGAAATACAAGCACTCGAAAGTGAAGAGTCCCAGATATCTGCCAAAGAGCAAATCATCCTAGAGAAGCTGAAGGAGACAGAGAAATCCTTCAAGGACTTTCAGAAGGTGAAGAAACAAATATAATGTCTCTGTCCATGAGGAAGTGAGCCCTGGCCAAATGGTGCCTGTGGGGCTGGGGTGGGTATGGAGTGGTGTGGGTATTGATGAGAAGTCTGAGCCACAAGCTCAGGGTGCAGGTTTGTGAGGACCAGGTGCCATCCCTGAAGCTGAGAGTGGCTTGCCTTCAGGTATGGACCACCTGACTTGCCCAGGAAGCATCAAGAAGAGCCATTAAATTAACCCTGTCTGCCTGCTGTCCAAAAAGTCTTCCCCGACTGGACTCCAGTGTTCTCATTAAGCAGATTATACCTATTCCCTGTGGTTTATTTACACTTCACTTTTGGAGAATTCTCTGTATAAAATAGTCAAAAGCAACACCATATCCAATGGACATGCACTCCAAAGAGGAAGAGTATACGTATATGACATTTTGCTGTATGTAAAAACAAATGGCGCTATGCAGTAAAGAACAGAGAACCCCTGAGACCATTCCATACCCTTGTTGCCTACCGCAGTATGTCAGTGATGGAACAGTCTCATGCAATTAATTTTAAGATGGGTTTTTCTAATATCATTTCAACACAACCCAGGGTATTTGGTGAAATGATTTTCTCCATACATTAATTGAAATTTGGTATAAAGGGAGAATGATAAACCCATCTGTTCCCTTAAATTTGGGGATCCCAAATAATTTTCCCAGTAGCAAAGAGAGCGTGAGGTTTGCCCAGCACAGTCAGATTCTGGGCTGGGCTCAGTGGGAAAAGAGGTGAAGTGGGTCAGGATTTACACATTGCGCGCATAGTAATACTCTGCCCTGCTTCTCTCTCCACAGAGCTTGTCCACGGCGGATGGAGGTAAGTGTGCTCTGCCCTGTCTGTAGATGGCTCTCTCCTCGTCCGCTTAGTGGGTTTCACGAACACAGGCTCACTGGGAAACATGATGTGTGGCTTTATAAGGGCTTCGCACAAAAGGGACAGCACCGCTGCCAGGGCTCCGGAGAGGAGGTCCATGTTTCTGGTCTTCACTGTCTCCTTCAAAAACTGTTTCTTAACTTACTGTCTCTGTTACAAAACGAGTCAGCTGTTCTCCTCCCCAGTCGTTCCCAAAGGCTCGCTGCCTGGGTCTTTCTTGAAAGCAGCTCAGCAAGGAAATGTGCCAACGTCAGGACCGGGTCTCCTGCAGGGATGAGCCTATTTGCCCTGGTGGTTAGGCCCTGAATGTGCACCATGTGTCAGATCATTTGGTGTTTTGTTTAACTACAAAAGGCCTTTCTAAGGCCGCTGGTCTGGTCTGGTCTTTTCTGTACCCCTCTCTTCCCTTCCTTTCTTCCCTTTTTTCCTTCCTTCTTTCCTTGAATCAAAGCACTGAAGTTTCTCTAGCCTTCCAGGGAAATAGGGCCAGTCAGAACTTCCCTCCCTGTGGGCACGGCTGAGCCAGAGCACAGGAAGGGTGGGAGCAGGGCCCCGGCCTTCCGCGCCCAGGCTGACAGGAGCAGCCCTTTCTCTCCTTACCCGGGCATGGGATGAGCTTGTGATCATGCGCTTTCTTGACCTCAGCTAGGAACCCATGACTCCCCCTCTCACTGTGCCTCTCCTCGGTCTGCTTTCAAATGCAAGAGTGTCTTGGAAGGGTCAGAAGCCCGTCACTTGGTACTTGCAGGGTCAGCGTCTAGACCAGGAAGAGGCTCCAGAGCCAGAGGAGTTGACACCAGAATGTTTTCCCTGCGTTATGTGGGGAAATACGGGGGAAAGTTTAAAAATGCAGTGCTACATAATGCATTTTTTTCTGCCTTTGCACTGAGGATAGTTCTGATGGAGGGGGCAGGGGAGAAAAGTTAATGTTTATGTTTTTTGTTTTTTTTTTTTTTTCCAAGCAAGTAACACACAAGAGATCTGGATCTTGGCTCCCTGGGCGATCCTTGGGAATGTACTAAATTAAACCTCCTGTTCCCAGAGCATGAGGGCAGGAACAAGTCAGGGAGGAGCCAGCAGGGACTCCGGGAGGAGAAGACTACAATAGTTCTACAAGGGAAGCTGAACTTCACTGGGATGTGAGGCAGAGGGGCACTCGCTCCGTGCTTGGGGGTGGACGTGGACAGAGGAGGCAACCCTGGGGATGTGGGGGTGCCGCGTGGAGAAGAAAACAGACTATGCATGATCAGCAAGATGCAGTTAATGTCAGGCTAGGCCAGGCCAGGCCGGGACAGTGACCCACAGACACCCACATTCCTGACAGGTACACATTGTCCTATTACACTTTCACTTCTTTATTTCCCTCCCTTCTCACACTGGCCTGCCTTCTCTCTGATAAGGAGGGAAAACAAGGAGTCCTGTCTCTGAGAAGCATCGGTGGGGTCTGGGGCCCTCTCTATAATCTGGGGCTTAGCAACCAGAAATGAAGCCACGCGATCAACCCTTATGGCTGTCTCTTTCACTTGCACCCTGAGTTCCTCTCCTTCCTTCTCGCCCTCCTTCACATGTTTCCACCCATTCCTCTGAGCTGGGAAGCTGGTCAGGACTGACAAGAGCAGGGGCCAAGAGAGTCACCCAAGACTCCATTTCCATCACCTTTTGCTCAGGCTTAGGAGACTGCAAAAGTCTTAGGGATCCTGGGGAAGAGTTTCCCCACGGTGTCACTTGTCACCCTGGATTTTGACTCCTGCCGTCTGTGCATCTAGGCAAGCCTGGGAGACCCATCACACCACAAGTACCAGCAAATACAAAAGTAGAAAGGAGAAAACACGTAACTTCAAGAGTGTGGTCAATGTATAGGTCACTCTGTGGTCAGAGGGTAAAACTGAGTTAAGTCCCACTTAGGAGGCTTTGGAATATCTGTCTTCTCATTCTTAGTTCCAAAGGGTGTGAGTTATCAAGACTTCCTTTCTTTCTTTTCTTTGTTTTGTCTTTTTGAGACAGATTTTCACTATGCGGTTCAGGCTGGCCTTGAACTCACTTTTAGCCCAGGCTGACCTTGCACTTGCAGTGATCCTCCTGCCTCAGCCTCCCGAGTGCTAGAATTACAGGTGTGTGCCACCATACTCGGCCCAAAATTTTCTTAGGATCACTCAACTATTGTTATTAAGAACTAATAAATTATTAGAGAACACTGACTAATGCCTTAAAGAAACCCTCAATTTCTGAGACATACGTAGTACAGAATCCGGGCCCAACTTGGATTCTATTGACGGTGTAGATGCTGTAGGTAATCCAAAAGCACCGCTACTTAAAAGAGGCCACAGAGACAGCCGCTAGTGTGTGCGTGTGCCTGATGACCCCACTCCAGCACCCCAAGTGTGTCACCCTGCCCGTGTCAGAGGAATGCAGTGTGCAACAGTTCAGTCACAAACAGCTGTTGATTACACACAGCCCTGGTAACAAGAGCGGCTCCAGTCTCGAGTAGACTATTTTGGTCATATGCATTATGGTTTCCCCTTCCCCTTTACAGTGTTGTTACACAGCAGTGCTCTCACCAGTTGCGTGGGTTGTTTTTCCTGCCTTAGACAGGCATGGGGTCTTATGTAACTATAAATCACATAGAGTGTGTATGTACTGTTATCTTTATTCTGTGCCCATCAAGGAGCTCTTAGCCAGATGTGGGAAGGAAAATGCCTGTCCTGGGCCTATCTTAGTCCATGCTGTATGATACCAATCCTGGGTTCCCATCCCACCCCACCTCCATACTGCCATGCCAGTCACTGGAATAATTCAGTCTTCAGTTGCCTGTACATCTTCCTTTAAGGAGATTTTCATCCATTTTGTTTCTCTAGTTTCAGGTACTTGTATTCTCCATAGCTATTGTAAAGTTTTGGCAGTGCTAGATGTATACATCCTACATTTCCACTTTGTAAGTGACTGACTTCCATCTCCTCTGATAGTAGGGAGAATACTAATAGGTCTCCCTGACTTTGGCAGCCAGGTGATTGACTGAGGCCACCTACAAGGTGAGAGGACTTGTTTGCTATTCACTATGCTGGATACTTAAGCTTAGGGTTTAATACTTAATGAGGTACTGAGGGCACTGCCCTGTCCCCTATCCAACGCCCCACTCACCACTACTTTATCTCTTAGCAAAAGCCTTGTTGCCTCAGCCCTCCAAGAGCTGTAGCCATAAAACTCATCACCAGTGAACAGTGGACAGGGGTGCCTCCGTCACCCACTCACACCTGGCCCAGAGCTGCCTTGTGGAAGAGGCTGAGCACGAGCCCTGGGGACTACAGTCTCTTTCAGACACAGAATCCCCATCCGCAAGTGACTTTTGTCTCTAGCTGCTAAAACTTTTAGTATGTATAGATACCCTAGAAACTCTATACTTGCCATAGAATTTACTAGATACACATGCGACCCATCTGTGAGTGCTCACTTGGACTTTGTGGCTTGATCCTCCATCTCATTTGATTGTAGAAAGTCAGATTTACTGAGATACCATTCCACAGGTTTTTGGAAATAATCAGTGAAACTTGAAAGATCTGCACATCTGCTCTGGTTATCCTGTTCCCCTAACCCTGTGGTGGTGAACCTGTGGCATGCAAGCTGCAGAGGGCTCCCTGTGCCACTGAAAGCTCTACAAGGTTTGCCACCACTGCCCTAAACTGTCCCTCCATCCTAGATTGCTGCGTTATTTTCCCATGGACTGCTGCTACCAATCTTCCCCTACTCTTCAAGATCAATTCACCTCAAGCTGTTGCTCCCTGGTCTTGCCTTGTTCTGGTTTGAGGCACATGCCACTCCCACAGCTCCCCACAGGGAGAATGGAGAGACGTTGGCAATCTAAGATCAGGAATAATGAAAGTACAGTTCAACATACAGAGGAATGTGCAGCTTCAAACATGCGGCCATTCTCACTCAGTCCAAGCCTATCTTCAGGGCTGTCCTCACAGGCTGCTTCACAGCCATCTCCCTGCCTGTCCTCACCTAAAAGGCCTGTTGCCTTCCTTGCAGTGAGAGGACCTTCATCTGGGTCTCCCTTACCCAAGGACCCAAGTTCTAGCACACATAAGGTCCCAGAGAGAAAAGGCAACTAGAGCCTTACTCCAACCTAAGCCTGCCTGGCCTAGTCCTCCTGTCATGTTTCTCCTTCCCAAATAGTTGATATGAAAAATTCCATTCTTGTAGAGAAACTCCACCCATGCCCTAAGAACATAATAGTCCGATGTCAGTGTATTCTGGATTGTTCAGACTCATACATGAGTCAGCAAGCAGTACAATGCGACTAGTCCTAGTGTCTTTTTATAGTCCTCTCCAACATGAAATTAAAAAAAAAAACCTGCCACAACTAAGACAGTAGCAGTGAGGATGAAGAGGAAGGGCACATGTGAGGAAGGGGATATGGATGAAGAGGAGGCAGGGGCCACAGGACTGATGGATACTAGGAGAGGAAGTGGGGAAGGGTGCCGCTGAGGATCCTGGGGGAATTCTGGTGCCTTTAACTAAGGGACAAGATATAGGAGCAGAAGTAGGTTAATGACAATGCAGGTTCCCATTTTGGTTTGACACGTTCAGTTTGTGATTGTGTGATATGCAGTGGAGAGATACAATAAATAGATATAATCATCGATGAGCAATGGAGATTCCAGGATAACTTTAAAGTTTTTACTAGTACATGTTTGCAGTGCATAATCATTACATGCATGGTGGGGAATTGGTACATGTATAACACATAACACATCTCAATTCTTTCTTATTCCCCCTGCCCTCTACCCTGGGATTCTGTGACTTAGTCAGGATATGAGAAGGAATAACATCAGTTGAGCCCACTTTTCTGGAATCTTCCTGCCTTTGCTTTCCCATTTCTCTCTGGGAGATACCCAGATTCTGCAGTCTCACCAGAGTGACCTCCTCTTCTTTCCTGACACCTTGCCATGCCCACTGATGCCCACACTCTTCAACCCCACTTCAGAGTGGGCATCTGTGCAGTCAGAACTGATGGTCTCCCTGCTCTACAGAGCAGCGCTTCCTGCTGTTGGGCTACTGGTGGCTTCACTGGAGGATTTCAGACTGAAGTGTTGAAATCATGGGGTAAATTCTGGAGTTTGTTTTAATGCATACCAAATTGGCCCTTTGAATGAACAAAGCCCATAAAACTGTATTTCCACTGCAGAGAATGTACCTTGTAATGCACATTTTTTAGTGTGACGCCCCATATTTGGTCAGTCTCACCAAGTTCATTATCCTGCTAACTAGCCTATCTTTGCTTCTTCCCCAGATCCCTCAACTCATTGTTCTAGAGTCCAGAGCTTTCTGTTAACTCTTCCATACACAGAGCAGTCCTGGGGCTTGAGTATTCTGGCCAGGATCCCTCCTGCCTCAGCTACTCTACTGAATACCAGTCACTGGGCAAATGCTTGGTTTTGTTTTCTCTGATCCTCTTGTTCAGTGGCTACCTCAGCGATCCATTGTGTAGGACAGACAAGCTGCTGTCTCGGCAGTGAACACGTTGGACCTCCCAGCACTGTGCTTAATTGTATTCCCTATTCTCTGCTACCAGATGCAGTAAATTACATTTCCTCCCAGCTCCCCGACCTGCCAACCCTCAGTTCACGAACAGCAGAACCATCACCTGGGCAGGAGGGGACCAGCAAAGCAGCTGGTAAGTCCTGGGGAGCACTTTGGTTTTCATACCAGGACTGTCCAAGGGGGTTGACTTTTCCTGAGTTTGATTAACAAGTTGAGTGCCTTGATGTCCCTACATAGGGGTCCTTTCTTTCACCCTGCCTGAGACATGGCATAGGCCAGTGGTCACCCAAGGTGGGAACTAGTCCTTGGTGGGTAATTGAAGGCCAAATGGAAAGAGAGAATTTTGAGGGAAATCACAGTGCCGTTTACTTCCAGCTTCAGGGGAGTCTTTCTCTCATAATCGTGGTCTTTGTATCTGCCTTTGCTTTTACAGTAATGTCCAAGGATTTTTTTTGTTTTCTTCTTTAGAATTGAACAAACTGAAAGCACTATAATAGAAGGAGAGTAGAAAGTATTTTCAAAGTATAAGAGTCCATTGCAAAAATCCTTAGGGAATTAAGTTTTTTGTCTATTTTGGGTACATATTCCTAAATTGCCACTTCTAAAGTTTCTTTTGCTGTGGAAGATGGGGGTAGCAACTTAAGAATCTATGTTTCTTGCTAATGTTTCTGACAATGGTGGACTTTACAAAGTAATATGTTTATGAGCAGAGTGTAAGGAGAGTCATGCTTCATTCTGTTTAATGTGGATGTGCCTCAGAAATCAGAGCCAAGAGGATGTGGATGATAAATCTCTACATTAACCCATTTGCTTTATACACAAAGCACTGAGGGTCGAGGGGTCAATGAAAAATAGAATTGCGTAGTGACAATGTAGGTGAATTCTGATTTTTTCCTTATCTGTTGTATTTTATGTTTGAAATAATTCATACAATTACATTTTAATACAATGAAGCAGCTACAGACTTTTAAGCTAGAAGAAATCCGTCATGTAGGACAACCTGAACATTTTATGAAACAAATAATCCACCTTATTTTAATATAAAGAGTTAAAATGATGAAGCAAGTAAGAATCGATACAGCTGTCATGCCTACAGACTAAATTTAAATACCTATGGGGTATTTTTCAACACACCTTAGCACGCTTCTTTTACATGCATAGAGTCCTAGAGCTGGCTGGGACTGTACGTGGTGTCTGGCCAAAGCTTGCCTGGGTCTGCATGTCTCTGGACACTGAAAGCCAGAACGTGCAGCCTGCATTTGAGCCACAGAAGAATCACTGGAATCACTTATACCACAGACTCTTTTAAATGTTCTGTGGCACACTTCTGAGGTCAATTTGGGTAACAGTTGTTAAAAAGTCGTGCACCTGCCTGCTTGTCATTAGAGACTTGGGTGCTGATGGTTCCCAATAGTTGGGTAAGCATCTCTAACCCATCGCTACAAGTTCCTGTACCTCAGTGGACATGGGTCATGATCTGGCTAATGGATCAGCATGTGGAGGACTGGGGCACTGTATGCAAATGAACTTTAAGAGCTAGAAAAAAGACTTGGTGGTCAAGGAGTCTGAAGTTCAAGAGCAGTGTTTTAATTAACATGATTATAGTGCTGTGTAAGTAGAAATACACATACTACCACAACCTGGCATCCTTTCTATGTGAAGAGACTATTAAAACACAATGACCCAAACAGTAAATGCATTTTTAAAGATATAATGTAGTCAGTCTTTTTAAAAAATAAGTTTACATCTGCTTTTGTTTCCTAGTTAAGAAGTGATTTGCATAAAGGCATCTAATATGGAAATACCTATAAGTAAACCTGGGGAAGGAGTCAGATTTCATGTGGTTAACTGCTTTGTCCAGGCAGTTTTTGAGGTATTCAGATTCATTATCAATTACAGCTAACAGTCTGCTTGGGGGTATTCATATTTGTTATCAATTATGGTTACCAGTGACTACACAACTCATGTGTGTTTACCAGCCATAGGTACCTGTATTTATTTTTATTTTTTTGGTACTGGGAATCAAACTCATGACCTCATGCTTGCCAGGCAGGCATTGTGCCACTGAGCTATATCCCCAGCCCCTCAGCCATAGGTACCTGTGACTCGAATTCTCCTACGTACAATCTATCTTGCTTGAGGAGCATCCTTTTGTAAATTTGCACAACCTCGGCCATTTCCTATAAAGATCACTTGTCATTATTGAGTACCCGAATAGAGTTGTTCATTCTGCATCAGAGGAATTTCCATAGAATCATTGCTTTTCCAAACAAGGAGGCACCTGTTCCAACCACTGAATCCCTGCTGTTACAGTCCTGCCAAGAGGTCTTTCAACCACATCCACGAGGGGGGCTTTATCTCCTTCCAGGTTGCCTGTTCTGTCTCCCATTGGTTCTCACCATTGGAAAATCCTTCTGCAGATGGAGCTATCCTCTGTCTGTCTTCATCGTCCATTTGTTGGTCCTTATCCTGCTACTTAGAGCTTACTTGGAACAAATCTAAGTTTCAAGTATTTGAAAATGACTGCCAGTTCCTATCTGTCCCAAATCCTACTCTAAGTCTCCTGTGTGCCACTGCCCGCCCTCTTCAGCTGGTCCCAGTGTGATGAGATTGTTTTGAGTCACCTATACCACCCCTGTCCCTGTCCTCTGAACACCCCTCACTGTCTCTGATCTTCCAGAAGGACAATGCTCAGAGCAGTCCGTGCACTCTAAGATAGGCTGACCACCTCACAAAATAAAACATGACAGTATAGGCCCTGTGCCTAACTATGCTAGCGTCACGACCTTTTGGCTTCATTTTCTGCAGAAGCCCCAGCGCCATTCTTATACTGCCACGGCTCAGCTACTTTGCCTTTCCCAGGGCAGGCATCATGTCTGATCCTTGCAGTTGAAATGTGCCACCTGTTTCCCCCCATTGTTCATATGTTCACGTGTAAGCTCTTTTTCCTCTTAACCTCAATCCACAGTAATAAGAATGAGTCTTGGGCCTCTCTGACCTTTGTTAATTTGATAGGACTGTTGCATTTCTTCTTGTAGAGTGTTGGGGTTTTGTGGAGCCATGGTAGGAAGGTGGAAGGGAGTGATGTCATGGGATTTAACACTCAGGGCTGTCTCTCATGTTCTCTCTCATGTCAAACATAGCAGCTTCTCCAACTTTGTGTCTACATAGTGTATTTCCATATCCACTTTCATTTGAATCAAAGGGTTTAACAGTTTTGGAAACTGAAAACTCTCTTCATGGCCTATAGTTATGACACTTCGTGACCCTGCTTTTCTTTTCAGTTGAATTACACCTCAAATCTTTTTTCATTGTTTTTCATCATTTCACTCGTGTAAATAGTGCACATGGGAGCCACCCTCAGAGCCCTGTGGCACATCAGTAGAGATCTCTTGGCCTTTGGTAACCTTAAATCAACACTTATGGGGCATGATCACTCAAACAGTAACAAGTGCTGACCATGATCCTGACACCCAAGGCACATATTTCTGTCTTCTTCACAGCAGTGGAATTCTTTGTAATAATACCTGGCATCTACCTAACCTCTCTAGAGACCTGGAACAGAAAAGAAAATAACACAGTTCCTGCCTGATGGTCCCAGGCTGGTGCTTGGGGATGTCTGCTCTTCAAGAATTAACTCTAGAGTTTAGCTGTCCATGATGTCAAGCATCTTCTAAGTAGTTTAGAATTCCCTTGTTTTCATTTTGTAAAATTGGAATTTTAAGTGCCAGCCTCCAGCACCTTTCCTGGTGTCCGAGACTCCTGAGACAAAGAAAACTGGGACCCTGAGCGCAAAGCACGGACAGGCTTGGGAGCCCGTTATGCCTGTTAAGTTTCCTGTCTCCCCTACTCCTCAGGACCTCACTGCCCTATCAGTAATATTCTCTCAGGCACTTTGCGTACTGCAACTGTTTTTCTGGACCAAAAATATAGAAGCAAACTTAGGTATGAGAAATTAGCTTTCCCTTTTTTTTATCCAGTAACATCATACACTTGCTAAGTTTTTTTAAAACAACAAAAATGCATTGTGTCATAGTCCTGCGGGCTAAAGGATGGGTTCCTTGGGATGGCTGTGAATGGGAATTCATTCCATACTTCTTTTGTGGATTTTTAAGGATTATGTATTTATCTGGTGTCCAGAGCTTTTAACTGACACATGATAATTGTATATATTTATAGGGTACAGTGTGTTAATTCAGTGCATGTATGCAAGGTGGATGATCAAACCAACACTTATAGCTTCTTAAACATTTAAATTTCTTTGTCTTGGGAACCTTTTAATTCCTGTAGCTTGCATATGTATGTGTGTGTGTGCGTGTGCGTGTGCGGTTTGAACCCAAGGCCTCACACTTTTCTAGTTCTTCATGGAATATATAATAAATTGTTGTAAACTATACTGACCCTACTGTACTGTAGAATATTAAAGTGTCTTGGGAAAACAACTGATTCAAATAAACTTTTGGTCATTGCTTGTCAAAGTTAAACATTGATTTCTGGGATGAGAGGGAGAATCAACTCTGGGCTAAATTCCCTATTTTCATTGTTGTTGACATCTCAGTAGCCATTTTTACATTTCCAATCTCAATGGAAGGAGTGAACTTAGATGTATATGCATAATGATGTGCTCAAGCAGTTAAGACTTGACATATATGTGCTCACTCAATAGGTCAAGCCTGCATCTTACTTGTCTGCCTCCTGTCAGGCTCCAGTGCCAGCCCCTGGGTATTCCTCATGCAGTGACCCTACTCCCTGACTGGTTGACAGTCATGATCTGCCTGGCTACTGCTGCCCTACTGTGTTTTACATATTGCTCATTCATGAGTCATACAGCCTAATCACAGTGCTATATAATACCAAAGCTGGATACTTTTCACTGTGCAAATAAGAAAAATAAATCTGAAGATGGAGCGTGCTCTGGATAGGAATTCAGATCAGCTGCCTTCTGCCCTCCTCCTGACATCTCCCATCAAACTGACTAATGACAGTGGGGCATGTGGTACTTGTAGTTTCCTGTGGACCTCAGCCTTGCTTCTCCTTTCATAATCACAGCAAGTTAAAGGAAATGAGCTTAGATATGTCTGAGTCAGTGATGGAATTTTCCACCCTCATAGGATACAGTCTTATTTTCTGCGTTCTTGGGCTGATTCTAAAATGGAGTCATGTTAGTTGTTCCCCCTCTTAGCTGTGTCAGATGTGCTCATTTCCTCTTCTTTCAGCTTCTCACAGCCCTTGCAGTTGCTTTCAGTTTGCCAAAGGCGGAGGTAGCAGAAGAAGAGAGCGCACAGATCCAAGGCAATGAGTTGGAACTCAGCTAGGTGTTATCTGTTCCTCAGATCCATCTCTTTGGCCACAAGGACTTCTCTTCTTGAAACTTTTACCTTGGCCTTTAGTGAGGATCTTCCCAGAGGTTTCACATCTACTCCACAAATGAGTGTTCTCAGGTTCTGCGACTACCAACCCCACTAAACTCCCTACTCTTACAAGGAGCTCCCCTGCTTGTGAAAGAACCAGGGAGGAGCTGGACAGGGGAACCCAAACACAGAGGCTCCAAACCAATCTCAAGGCACCCATTCATTTGTGTCCCTTTGAAGAAACTAATCATATTGGTTCTCATTCACTAATACAGTGAACACGTTCCTCAGCTGTCTCACTGGCTTACTGGAAGGAGTAGTGAAAGTGTTGTATGTGCTTCACTCTTCTGATATCAGTATGTAATGTCTAGACATCAATAACTAAATACGTCACTTAATAAAAATGTTTTTCCAGACTCCAGTGAGCCTATCCGTGGGTGACACTTTCATTGAGCTGTCTTGTATCCTCTGTCCCCTTCTCCAGGTCCTTCCTCCAGGAAATTTTGGAGTGCTTTTCCTCTAACAGTTTTCCTTGTGTCCATGGGGTTCTTTCAAAATCTGTCTCAGAGGCTCCCCGGAATGCCCCCTCCCCTCAACAGTGCTCCTGCTCATTTTTATCTAAGATGAACGGAGGCACCAGACCCTTTTGCCCCTCCTCACTGCATGGATTGCAGCCCCTGACAGTGTGGGGAAGTGGAAGGAACTTGTGGCTGGACTGAAGCGTGTCCTGGGTGATTAGGAACACAGGCATACTAGGAGGCAGAGGCTTTAGGTATAAACTGCTTGGGAGCTGCACAAAAATTGTGCCTATCAGAAACAAAATACAGTTTAGGCTGGAGGTGTAGCTCAGTGACACGGTGTGCACTTAATATGTACGAGGCCCCAAGATCTGTCCCTAACACCGAAAATGAAAGGTAACAAAACAACAAAAATGGGGTTTACGTGTTAACATTTTCATGCCAATAATTTGTGTCTTGTCACATAGAGATCTAAAACTAGAAATATTTTGTTCCTTTTATGTAATGATTGCAGGTTAATGTGTCATTTTGATCACACATTTTATTATTCAGAGGGTAATTCCTATAAACTGATATTCATTATTACTTCTATTATAAATATATCCCGTGAGTGTGCTAATAGTGATATGATATTTTAACACAAAATTGTGCTTTTTATCATAACTGTAATTATTTTAAGGATAGGCTTTTGGAGTCCATGCAGAATTTTAAATACCACTCCTATCCTCCGATGATACTTGGTGTTGAAAAATCAGGAAATAACTGAGATAAATATTTCTTTTGATATTACAGTCTTTGTGTGTGAGTCTGTGACAAATATTGGTTGGCCAATTTGTGTCACTTGAGGAAACTCAATATTTTTATGCAGAACAAATGAAACCTTCAAAATGGATATGGTGAAAACCAAACTGTGGATTTTGCTTCATAATCTTTTTAGTTAAGTGTTAACCATGAACAGATTGTATCTTATGATGCCAGCAGATGGAACGGTATCATTGCTGTTTTTTTAAATGAGTTCGTATATTAATTACTGTGCATACCTTTTCATTGGTGTCATATTACACACTGCACTTGTGACTACATTTAGACAATCAAGTCAAACTCCTCAATTAGTAACATTTGTTTCATGGGTGTGTATATCAGGTATCTTCTGTGTGAAGGAGTCTAAGGTAAGTGCTGGCAGGAAGAGGGAATTATGGGGGCAGAGGCAAAAATGTAAACTGCAAGGATCCTGAAAATCTGTGAAGCAGTGATTATACTCCAAATAATTATAGTACTAGGGTGGAAATTAAGTGCTCTCAAAGAAGTTTAGAGGTGTTCAGAAATTCTTAAAAGGAAAAAGATGACTTAAAATGGGAAGATCAAAGAAAGCTTATGGGAAAGGGGCAGTTAGTTTTGGCACTGGTGAACGAGTTATGTTTGGATGTGCAGAAAGTCAAAAGATGGGCATTTCAGAAGAGGATCGCATTTAGATATGGGATAGTGTTGTTCAGTTGTGGTGAAGGGAAGAGGAATGACAGAACAGGTGTCTGGAAAGATAGTTTGGATCTCCTTTACCCAGGTTAGCAACCTGGTAGATATTCAGAAAGAGGTAGGGAACTCTGACAGTGATAAAGCAGATGTACAGTGCAAGAACTTGGCCAGGGGAGAAAACTGAAAACGAGCAGGCATGGGAAGATGCTGAGCAGGGTCCTAGGAATAGTGAGAAGGCTGTTGTGGCCAGAGAGTGTGACGAACAAGGGGCCTGGGAGACAAAGCTCGAAAGGAAGGTTGCAGACAAATTCTGAAGGGAAATATATGCCCAGCTAAGGAGTTTGGTGCTTGCGCTATGCAGACAAGAAGCAGCGGGTAACCTGAGTCCGGTAACTGTGGGCAGGCTGGAACCCAGGCTAGCAGGACTCAGAACACCTTCCACAGATGACCAGCTTGGAAACATTTCCAGCTTTGTGGACCACGTACGATCTCTGTTACATAGTCTTCATATTTTTTCCTTTTTCTTTTCCCTTCTTGGCCTTCTGCTTTTCCTTTCTCTTCTTCCTTTTTTTAAAACAATCTTTTAAAGATGTGAAGTTCCCATTCTCCCTCCTTTGGCCATGCACAATGAGGCCTCCTCCTGCTTTTGGCTTTCTGGCTATATTTGCAGTCCCCAAGACTACAGTAGAACGAAAGAAGGGTCAAGTGAAACTTGAAATAAGAGTTTTGTGTTGAGCAGAAGCCAGGGCCAGTGCGGGGGTGGTAGAGATGGTGATGAAGATATAGGTAAGACTGTCTGAAGCAGAATTAGTTCCTCTCAGTGCTTGTTTGGGTGTGCGAAGTTGGGCAGAAGAAGCAAAATCAGGTGTGATCCTGAAGCTTTGGGCTTGGGATCCCAGGTAACAGTGTGGGTGTTGTCCAACACCAAGGCTCTGGAAGGATTTTGAGAGAAGTGCAATCACTTTTGATATTGGCAAATCTGATGTGTCAGGTGGCTCTGTGGGTCGCAGTTTATTCCAATCCCAAATGCATACACCGCAAAGAGCCTGTGAGAGAACAGACTTGTCCATGTAAACTGTCCCAAGAATCTATAGGACAGGAAAGAGCCGGTCCTTAGGAACACTAGACCAGCAGCAGAACTGGGGATGAAGTGGAGAGAATGAGACTGGAGGACTCAGTCTCGCTAGGAGGAAGCTGTTCTTGCAAGCTAGAGAAGAAAGGAGGTTCTCATATTGGGTAGTGACAGTAGAACAGAAAGACACCAGGGGAGGAAGGTATTATGGGACAGAATCACGAGTCTTGGCCTTATGCAGATAAAAGAAAGAAGCTGTAACAGCATCCTTAGGTTCCAGTGTCATAGGAAGCTGCTGCTCTGTCTTTTTTTTTTCTTTTTAAAATACCAGAAACTGAACCCAGGACCTTCACACTGAGCTGCATCCAAGCCCCGCTTACCCTTTTAAGACAGGCTGAGTTGTCCAGGTATATTATAACTTGCAATCCTCCTGCCTCAGCTCCCAAATGCTGGGTTTACAATTGTACACCACCACGTCTGGCTTTCAGTCTTGTTCTTTTCCTAATTCTTATTTTAGAAACCTAAGTGAGGGGAATTCCCCCAGGGCATGTAATATAAAGGCTTTCATACTTTTTCACTTTTTCCAAATATCTAGTTGCATAGTACCGTAGGGGACATTCATGCCTCATCTGCAAAATCCTTGACATAGTCTCCATTAATAGTACAAGGAAACGTAGAAAAATAGGCACATTTGATGAAAGAATTGGGAAAAAAGTTTCAGATTTTGAAACCGAGACACAAGTACACACTTTTAAATTATCTCTAAGCCTAGGAAGCCCTCAATCAAGGTAAATTTGCATGTTGCCAACTTTCCTGTAATTCTTTCCATCTACATCCGGAGTCTGGTCTGGCTTATTTCATCCGGTTTTCCTTAAAAGTACGAGTGCCATTGGGATATTAGTGACTGTGTCATCTGCCTTCTCAGTGCATTATGCTGCTGTAAAATACATATATAACACTCTTTGTCCACAACGTGCACCTCACTCTAACACTCAGAATACTTGTTGGTTAGAATAGAAAGGGCACAAAGCCTTTTTTGTCTGTTTGGCAATTAACCAATCACTGGCTTTTTTTGTTGTAACATGCACTTCCTTTCTCTTGTTTTCATTCAAGCTGTGTACGCCATGGAAATTAATGTGGAGAAAGACAAACAAACAGGAGAGACCAAGATTCTCTCTGCATCTACCCTTGGCCCAGAGGGGGTCCATCAGAGAGGAGTCAAAGTCTATGATGATGGTACCAAAGTAGTGTATGAGGTGCACTCAGGAGGCACCATAGTAGAAAACGGAGTGCACAAGTTAAGTGCAAAGGATGTTGAAGAGCTTATTCAGAAGGCTGGACAATCAAGCTTACGAGGAGGGCACACGTCAGAAAGAACTGTGGTTGCAGATGGGAGCCTTGGCCACCCTAAGGAGCACATGCTCTGCAAAGAAGCCAAGTTAGAAATGGTCCATAAGTCTAGGAAAGATCATGCTTCTGGGAACCCAGGGCAACAGACCCAAGCCCCCAGCACAGAAGAGCCAGAGGCAAACTTGGATCAACCAGTCACCATGATTTTTATGGGCTACCAAAATATCGAGGATGAAGAGGAGACTAAAAAGGTGCTAGGCTATGATGAAACCATCAAGGCCGAATTGGTCCTCATTGATGAAGACGACGAGAAGTCGTTAAGAGAGAAGACAGTGACGGATGTGTCCACCATTGATGGGAATGCGGCTGAGCTTGTGTCTGGGAGGCCAGTCTCGGACACCACAGAACCCTCATCCCCAGAAGGGAAGGAAGAGAGCCTGGCCACCGAGCCAGCCCCAGGTACCCAAAAGAAAAAGCGCTGTCAATGCTGTGTTGTCATGTGACCACTTCTTTCCTCCCTTTCCTTCTGGGCAGCCTCTCTGTTCTCCAGCACTTCTATAGACCTCACTCTACCACTAACTGCAATACTGTGAACTGGGAGCAAACACCTGCCTTGCCTTGCAGTTGGATTGCTTTGATCTCTCTTATTTTTTTTTTTTTCCTTTTCCTGACCTGAGAAACGCCGTGCATGTGTGTGCTTCGTTTTCTTTCCAAGAACTTGCTTTTCCTGTAAACTTTTCTTGTGTCTTCGAGAGTGAATCAGTACCTTACTGCTCGATTGGAATGGACTCTTCGTATCAACCAGTTCTTTAGTAGCCTTAATTTACTTGACTGGAATTGAACCATTGGCACCGGGGGTTTCATTTTGTAGTGTGCTCTGGTAATGCAGACACACACACACACACACACACACACACACACACACTGCCATGTCCCTGACTTCTCACTTGCCTCCCTTGCTGTGGATCTGTGTTTTTATATCTTGCGTGGCAAAATGCTGTGGGCTCTAGCGAACCGGTTGCCAGTGTAGCCAAAAGTGGACCTTACTTAATCTGTCCATTCTAGGCTGATGCTTTTTGCTGCCTTACAGAAGCTTCCAGATTACAGTATTGTGCATCTATGGCTTTCCTTCCAAAATGAAGTTGTTGTGAAAGAAGGGAACTCAATGCTCTGTCACAGCTGAAGTGTAGGGACCCAGTGCATCACCTGCTCATCGGCAGTTATCTCTTTCTATGGCTTAATTGATGAACTCTTTATACAAGAAGCACCATTTTAGATTTTCTAAGGACACAAGACAACTATTGTTGTAAGCACCAGTAGAGATCTCCAAGCTTAGAGAGCCCATCCTTGAGCCCTGCTTCTATTCTCTCAAAAAAAATGTAAATTTTTATATTGCTTTCTTTTTCACGGATATTTTCTGATCATGTTAATCTATTTTCGATGAGGTGATCATTTTGAGAAGTATCTCTGCAGTGACCATATTTCTAAAACAGTCTCTCTGACCTACAGTGGTTGCTAGGGTGCTCCCACTGTGTCCAGGATGGTGCTGTATGTATTAACTGTCCATCTCATGTGCCCCGTGGATTACAGTCTTATGTTTGTACTCCTTTATTTCTGTCCCCATGAGAAAGCGTGTTTTAGTTCTCTGCCCTTCAGAAAGACTTGAAAATGTAAATGTTGAAAGATGAACAATTTGTCTTCTCAATGTCAAGTACTTAAGGTAGATTGAGTGGAATATGAGCAAGCTTCTAAGAGGTTTTTTTTCTTAAACAGCGGGAGATTGTGGAACATCAAGAAATATTTTTTATCAGGAACACAATGAACAATCCTTGAAATAAATTCTTAGCACTGCCCCAAAGTGAGTAACTACATGTACAGTATAACCAAAGTAAAGAAATGTAGAAAAGGAATAGTATAAGAATGAAATAAAAGTATAATATGTTAACTGATTTTAATAAGAGATGGCTTCATATTATTGGCCCAATGCCTGAGAGCATTGTTGCAGATCATTCACAAAATTATCTATGTGTCCTTAGAATATAGTTTCAAAATCATAATATTACACACTACCGCATTTTAACTTATGCAGAAAGTCACTTGTAAACTAATTAGGATTTATTGATGATTGCATTACAGAACCAACTAAACTTGTCCTATGCAGTTTGTTCAGTGATAAATCTATTATTATTTTTAATTTCTTGGCTTGAAATTATATTTATTCCAGCTAGAGAGGAAAAATGGCATTTTTATTGCTCAAAGTTATTTTTTTCTGAAACAATTGCATTTTTAAGGAGCACAAAAGGGATCGTTTTGTCTCTGATAGGTAATCAAAAGAAAACAAAACAAAAGGTTAGAGCAGGGAAAAATAAAGACACGAAGTTCTGCTTCCCAGAAGGACTTCCTCCAAGCTTCAACTTGGATAACGGAGGGAATTATCTCTAATTCTCAGGTTCTCCAAAGTAGCAGCGATGGGATACACTGCTCTATTATCTAAAAACATGGTTTCAATGCCTGCAAATCTCACAATTCTCGGCTTCATTTTCTTCAAAATGATCATTGGAGAATCATTTAAATGGGACATAAAATGACATGGAGACAAACTTATTTACATAGAAGGAGGAACTAACTTCAGTGTTTTGGACAATCTGTTTCTATTTTAAGAATTTATTTAGGAAAGAAACAATCTAAACTTTACCATAGTTTATCTTTTTTACTCACTGAGGGATTTAAACTATTCAGTATGAGTTTTTAAAAGCACAGTTAGTGAGTGGCATGGCACAGCTTGGAATCCTTGGGCTTGCCGTTTTGATAAACAGAATCATCTTTTGGGGAGGGCTGTTCCCTGGAATGATCTACCCTCCATAAGAAAGCAAATTACCCAGGAAGAAAGTGATCTGCACCTCTCACTACCCCTAAGACCTGACGGACCAATGATAATTCTCCCTCACTCATCACTTACTATTCTAGGGAATAGTGACTAGCAAATAATATGAAATAGGACTCACCTTATACTTTTGTTATTAAAGCTTATCACCTAATGGTTTTGAAGTAAATTATTTGACTGTGGCATCTATATTTGCATATTTTTCTGTTCTTTTCTGTCTTAATGGAGGATACAGGCTCAGTACTTTCATGGGATGGGACCTGTAATCCCACTCACAGTTGCCAGTCTTCCCTTTAGACTGAAAATGTAAATGCAGTGGTGATCATGACCGTTCTGCCTTTCCTGAAACTGTTGACATTTTCTCTCTAAAAATTATATCATCTGTGGTGCCACACCCTTTGAGAGTGCAGGGTATTTGGTTACATAACCAAACTAATTGAAAAATCAGTCAAGGAGCTACAAAACCATTTTTTTTGAGCTAATATTTAGCTGGACTTTCTTTTAAAATGTTGTAATCAGTTCTCTTTTAAATAGAGAGCCAGGTATAGTGGTGCACGCCTTAATCCCAGCCCACAATTTGGGAGGCTGAGGCAATAGGATTGCCTAGAATTCAAGGCCAGCCTGGACTACATAGTGAGTTCAAGGAGAACTTGAAATACATAGTGAGACCCCTGTCTCAAAAAACCAAAAAATAAATAAAGAAAAGAAAAAAAGGGGAAGGGGATATTTCAAAAAATTTTATAAACACATTTTCAATGGCATTTAATTGCAAATCCTTTAATACTTTAAATGATAAAGTTTATCTATATATATATGTACTGAAAATCTTGGTAACTTACCTATCCTTGACTTTTTTATTCTATTTATTTTTCTTTTAGTCTTCAATGAGGCCAGGCTTACTGTATTTTTTTCCTTATACTATTTTTACCCATAAAAATATTATTTCCTTTATATAACCAAAAATGATGGCCTCTGAAAGTGATTTCCAAGTGTCCAGTAATGCCACCCACCACTGGAGATAGGAAAAGGGATGGGGAAATTCCTCTGGGCAAACTTAAAGTATGGTTTCCTTAAGACTCTGGTGCAACGTAAAAATTATTCATAGTTTCAGGAAACTCAAATTCTATATGACTACTTTCTGAAATGCTAAGGTGCATGTATTTGCTTCAGATTTATACTTTTTCCAGTTTACTTTGTGGTGATAAATGCGTTTTTTCCTACATGCAAGTAGAATATTTTGTTTTGGTCAGGGTCAAGTTTTTATAAAAAAAGGAAAACTGATACCTATAAATAGACTTTCCTTGAGATACAGTCTCATCTCTGAGACAAAACATTGGAGCCAAATGGGAGAGCAGTTTATTTGCCTTCACTTTCTATAGAATTTCACTGCAAGGGACCACAGAATACTCTTGGAAATTACCATTTACTGTACTTAATGCCATTGAGCCAATGAGTATCCCAAAGGAGGGAATTTTGATGCTGAAAGCATCAAAAATTGAACTGCTATCCCAGCTCTTCCTTTTTAAAAAGTGTAGACCCTGTCCATTTAAGACTAGACAAACACAGGCAGAACGTTCACTGAGGATTTTTTTTGTTGTTCTTACTTAACATCTAGCAGTTCAGTCATCTGTGTTCATCACTGGGCTCGCTGGAGAGTTTAACTCGCTGGAGGGCCCTTCCCTTGTAGACATATTGCCTTCTCCTGCCATGTTAGTTTACAACATGAGCCATTCCAAGATGAGCAATCTCATGTATTCTTGCAACATGTACATTTGTAATTGAAACCACAAATTCTCAGCATATTTAAGACAGAGGTTTCAGGAACTATAAATATGCAATCCTTTAGAAGCTCCTCATTTTTTAAGGAAGGTCTACTGAGTTCCGTTGATTGAGGCTAGAACCAGAAATGATATCATTTGCCCTGTTCGGTTAGTGAAACACAACAGGAAATTGGAGCTACCAGTGTATAGCATAAAACAGCTCCAAAGAACGAGGAAGGTGAGATCTTTAATTCCTGCTACCAGTTTGCCTTCTTTGTGTAGCCTTCTTCTGACTTATCAGGAAACCCTTCTTGCATGTTTTAGGGAAAAAGGAAAGTTGCTAATTAGGAGCACAGTGCAGTTATGTGCAGTTATCTCTGCAGCTTCAGCAAATTTCTTAATACAATTTCCATTGCTACAAAAAGGAAATATTGCTTGAATGTGGAAAAATATACTATAAGGGTTACATCCTGAAAATTTCAAATGGAAATTTCTGTGGGGGTCCTTAGACCAGCTCCCCTAACTTAATTTTTGTATGATTAAAGTAGGCCTCTGCTTCCCCTTTCCACTCCTGCCTAACATCAGAAGGTCAGAGCTGTTGCACAGAAAGGTTGCTGTCAGTGTCAAAATATCATATGTAAGTTTGGGGACCACAGACTTTCTGCATCCAAGATCTGGACAGCCTTAACTTTTGTAAAGAATAATAATAATAATTTTCCAGTGCATTGTCTTTTACTAAGCAGGAAAGCAAAATGTTTCCTGAAATCAATGACTTTTTTATATTTTGTGACTATTTTCTAAGTTTCTACAGGTTG